CCTGTTTGTAAATTCTTTTGAAACACTACCGGGATAAATCACCTAAGTCACAAAAAACTTTAAAATTATTAGCGAGTTGCAAGAAATAATCCAACAACAAGCAAAGCTTTGTTTTCTTAAAGGGGCACTGTATTCAAAGACTTTAAAGTGGACTGTAGGATTGTGGGTAAGAGCAGTTTTCTGTTCTTAGTCATTCTGTCAAATTTTTAAGAAATGGATTTTTTGTTAGGTCAGGACATGTTTCTAACCGAATCACAAAGAATAAACCAGAGTCTTGCGAGCCTCCTAAATGGCCAATCCCCACCCCTCCCCAACTGTCACTGTGGTCGCAGCGAGGTCGAGGGCCGCTGCCGGGTCCCAAGGCAGGTGAGTGGTGTTCAGCCTCAAAGAGGGTGGGGTAGGGTGGGGTAGGGTAGGGTGGGATGGGATGAACGCCTGAGTCAAGGGGAGGGGCGGATGGTGCAGAAGAATGGGGACCTGCAGAGGGCCAGGCCCAAGTCCGAGTACTTGCCAGCACCCTCACACCCTCGGGGGCCCGCAGCCCCGGATAGCGTCCTCAGCCTCGCTCCCACCCACTCGACACTTACTGAAGCACATTGCCCGCGTTATCCATGGCGAGAGGACTCCCGCCAGCAACAAGCCCACCAGCTCTGGGTGTACGGACCCCGCCGTGCCAATTCAAACCTCCCGCGCAGCCGCAGTAGACGCGCCGAACGTTTGCATAATGCCTTGCCATTGGTTCGGCTGTAGGGAGGCTGGCCAATTGCCTGAACCGTTGCCGAGAGACCAAGTCCCGCCTCCCTCTCCTGCGTTACAGCTCCTCCCACTTCCTGTAACTCCCGGATGAACCTAAAGCTCCAGGCGGGCAGAGAGAGGAGGGGCGTTCAGTACTGTCAGGCGTGGCTAGTAATTTTGCTTTGGGTTATTTTGGCAGTTGATTTTCTTCTGGTTTACCTCACTAACTCCAGCTACCTGAATCGGAAAAAATGTGCCTTGGCAGTTGACTCCTGAAAATCGCACCTCTTTGACCCCTTTCCGGAACTAGAGTCATAATGACTGGTTCAGAGAAAGAAAAGAATTCCGTGGAATCTATCGTTTAAATATACAGAAGTTGTTCAAGTGCAGTGGAGTGGATTCTCATAGCGACCTTGTACAGGGTTTCTAATGAGCGGCTGATGTGTTTGAACCTCTGACCTTTTGATTCTGAGTCCAATGCTTATTCTACAGCACCACACCAGGAGTCCCCAGGGGTAATTGTGGGTCTATGGTGTGGTGCTGTAGGATAAACACTGGACTGCGAACCACAAGGTAGGGAGTTCAGATCCACTGGCCGCCCCTT